AAATTTCGACTCGGGGATTTAGTTCTACTTGTCGAAATCCGACGTCTCACTCTGTGCGAGGGAAATTAACTGAAATGTAAATATTGAGTTTTTATATCGTTGTCAGACTTTATCAGAAGATAAGGCGCAGACTCCTTTTGAAGCTCTTACATAATCGAAATCTGCTGGCAACTCGACGCACGTATCGTAAATAACACGCAATCATAAATTCTCGTCGTCGTAATAAATCGCGCGCGCGCTTTTTTTTTTATTCTACGGCGATATCAATTTTCGTTTTCTTATCTTTATCGTTACGGCCGATCGATCCGAAGCTGCTCCGGTATTATTGTCGAGACGCGTTTCGCCAGACGTAACAAAGTACATGCGCCTGCATGTGTACTTTAATAGGGGTATTAGCGATAAATTTAACACAAAACGCAGTCGAGATCTTAATCTGCAGCTCGTTTAAGTAAACTCATTACGCGGTCCCTACTTCGGAGGAAGCAGCGGCAGCATCGTTAGCATAAGCGATGACCCCTTCTCTCTGCCCGACTGCCGTGCTACATGTTAATAAGAACCTCGCTCTGTAAAACAAAGGGAATAAACTGGCCGCGCCAAGAAGAAACCTGTCTTTGTTTCTGTATTAACGCGTTCGCCAACACGTTTGATTAATCCCGCAGATTAACGTAATTAATGCTCTTTTGAAGTTGCGTCTGCGCGCGAAACGGTATTTTACTTGCTGAAAAATTGAATACAAAAATGCAACTAGTTTTAGCGCGTTCGAATGGATTTACTTGATGGGCTTTGATAACGAGCGCATTAAACAGGATTTGCCTCTGATTTAAATGTTAATTAAGATCCTTTTCAATGGGAGTGCGTAATTATAAAGGCGATAAAATTGGAATATTATTTATTGCGTATAACCTTGAGTTAATAACGTGCTCGTACAGAGATATTTTTATATATTGCATAATATATAAAGTAAAAATACAGTTTATGTTTATTAATACAAAATAAAATTAAAATTGATCAAACCGTCTCGGGTGAATCCGCGAGCGCGATACGTCACTTGCGGGAGAAACTTGGTCTTACAATTAAACGTCCGCTATCATCTTCGCGAAACTGATTTCTCTGCGAAATCTCATTATGAAGCGAGGCGGATCTTTTTATACATTCATTTCGTTATATTTCTCGTTTCGATTACTTCCCCCTTCGAGACGGAGATCGTCCACAAACGTGGTATTTACGGAAAACCGATTCATTTTCGTTTCCCGAGGGTTAGTCCCCGCGTCTCTCGCGTCCGTCTTGAATCGAAGTATTCGCGGGTTAACTCGACTCCGTTAACAAGGTAAATTCTCCCCCGTCCGACCTCAGTGGTGGACTTCATTGACGTCATTACGATCGAGGTACGCCAGAATGCTTGCGCCCACAGCACGGAATAGTTCGGGCTTACCAATTGTTCTCCCAGGAATGCCGTCAATCTCCATTCGTGGAATTGTTACGAGAGCGTAGAGGAGAGGGATCCCCTCGCGCGCGATACCCACCGCGCTCCCGTCTTTAACGACTCGTCTTTATCCCACCCGGTATAAATTGCACCGGATATTATTTTCGTCGCGCGAAACTCCCCGAAGTCGCGCGATTAATCATGTAACTTAAGGCCGGGGCAAGTTCCCGGCTACGTCGCGATCGTGCGATTTTGCGACTTCCGCTTCTTCTCGATTAACTCTTGAATATATATCGTCCCTTTTTCGCGACGCAACGAGCTAATCTGAAAGTACCCAAGTATGATGTATAAGTTAAATTTCGCCCGAGAAATTTAACGTTAACGGTGTAACGAGTATTAGTGTTGGTCTACAACCTTGCTTTTAAGCAAGCTGTAAGCCTTAAGCCGTACGAAATTAACCAATCACAGGCATTTATTCCCCTCACTCTCACTTGTGAGAGTTAGACTTTTGAGGCTTTCAGCCTAACGTAAACTTTTGTGCAACGTGCAACAATTTTGACACTTTTAAGGATAATTTCCACCTACTTAGCTGATCTATACACCTACATAGACCAGCAATAACCTACTTTGATGACATAATATTTTTTACTCCTCCCTTGAATCTTTAATTCTAAAAATTTACTTTAGCTCCTACTTAAAGGGACCTACTTTAATGCTAAATTGGCAAAAGTAGAAATTTCCGACACTATCAGTTTTTAAGTAGGAGTAAATTTTGTACTTGCAGTTCGACCTCTTTTACCGTCTTAGGTCCACTAAATAATAGAATTAAGGGTTCAACAGAGGGCCAAAATTTCGACTCGGGCGTGAACTGCAAAATGGAAGTAGATTACAGATAGATGCATACACGTATTACGTGAAACTACGTGTCTTTTTTTTATACCAATTTTTTAGTTCACTTTCCGATGAAATTTCCACGAGAGTTCACTCTAGAGTTCGTTTACACGCGGGGCTATAATCACGCGAGGCATTTACGCGTCCGCGCCGGTCGATAGATGCGTTATCCGTCTATTCAACCTTAAAGGGGAAACAATCAAAATAAGAGTAACAGCGGCCGAGCTGTCATCGTGCGCGATACTAAAGCTGGAACGTCTTTGTCGAGGTCGATTTTCTGCACGCCGATCGACGGGACGTACGCATGGATTAGTACGGGGCAGCGGTCGATTGGACAACAGTTGATGCACTTAACGATTATCGAGTCTATAACCGCAAAAGAAACGAGGTGAAACGGAGAAACGTTTGAGCGAGCAACTAGACCTTTATCCATGTACTTCTTATGGCGCAAGTGTCTCGCTTGCCGCTTCTTTTTATTACGTTGCAAGATATTAAATGGCATTGCAAAGGCCTTTAGAGTGACGTTAAATTTGAATGAGAATTTCGGGAATCTCATATTACAAAGACAGCTGATCCCGTAAAATTGATCGCCAACGTAAATTGACGCCACGCACGCCGAAACATTATATTGAATTACATTAAAGAAAGCCCGACAGGTCATTCTCGGTAATTTATGTTAATTCTATTCCTCACTTTAAGAAGCCGTTGCTTGGATCATTTATCTCCCACCGTAAATAGCGGCTGCTGGTTAATCATCCCACTTGTGCGTACGCACGATGAATGCGAATCGATATCGTCAGGACGGAATTTAGGCAGCTTACACATTTATAAAACTTATCAACTATAAGTCATTTTTATCACAGTATTATTCTTTTTTTTTCTCGATACAATATTGCGTCGCGAGCTGTCTTTTTTCTCTTATTTCCCGCGTCGACCATCTACCATCGTGGTTGCACGCAGTTATGTATCATATACTATATGTATATACATATATATATATATATATAATGTTCCGAGAAGACTCGATTTTAGAGAACACGGGATAAATTCTACTGTACTCTCTATTGGGAGATCCGTCGATATATCTCCCTTTCCTCGTCCAAATCTCCCCGTTTCTCTTTCTCGCGCCGGTCGTTACTGACGCGGGGCGGTTGGACCGCGGCCAAAATGCCGCCGGTAAAATTAATCGTTGCCTGACACGAATTCCTCTCTAAGTGGGAATACCAATTTGTAGGTGCGAAACGGAGAGCGGGAGAGAGAAAGAGAAAGAGAGAACGGGCAAGACGGAGGTTGCGCCGCGTTGCGCGCCCGGGGTGAAAGCCGGAAGGTGGAGAGGAGGAGGAGGAGGAGAAGGAGGAAGCGGGTGGGTAGAGCGGGTCTCTAAACATGTCGTTATATCGAAGCTAACAACCCGGTTTACGTCGGCTCTCGACTCGTTCTTGGGTTCTCCCAAGAGAAACGCCGGCGAGCAACGCGCGCGCGTTTCGCTGCTTATTGGCCGCCGGCCAAGTGCCCCTGAAGACTTATCCGCTATCAAGAATTGTTTATGAAAGCAACGAGACTACAAAGCGACGCGCGTAATCTTTCGAGCAGACCGGCCGCGACGCCAAATTAGCGCTGCCAAATTAATTGAAGTCGCTGAATTTTCAGATGAGTGACCGCGCCTCCGTCTTCCTCGTGTCGCGGCTCGTGAGAGCCGCGGACGCTTTTATTTCGATCTGCGAATCTTACTCCGCTGGATTTTCTCCCTCCGAGAAGCTACAGCGTGTTCTCGGGGAACAACGAATTTTCCTTTCATCATTGTTTCGCGGCTATTAAAAGGATTCTATGTGTATCTTCTAAATTCGCAAAGTTAATTTCTATGAATATGCTGTTGCCGGAATTTTGTAGATCGAGTCAAAATTTAATCGTGTAGAAAGTAACAATAGAAGTAAGGTAAAATGAGAGAGAAAGAGAAATTTAGAATTTGTGCGTCTCGTTAAAAACTTTTTTCAACAATTGCAATATTTTGGAACGCTTTAAAATATAACGTTTGAAACATGCGAGAGTTAATTAAGCTATTATGCAACTGATTGCCTACGGCAATAATTGTGTAGCAGCTTATATTGTAAGATGGGTTATTATCACAGTGAAATAACGGTGGTCATCTCGGCTTCTTTCTAAAACAATAATTATACCGCTGGAATGCGTCTCACGTTAGTGGCGAGCGGCGTGCCTATCAAGCTAAGAATGTGCCGGCGCATCTCGGTGTTGTTTTACAAAGAAAACGGAACGGATTGTGCTTGCCTCGCTATATTGGAGTTGCTCCATTCTCGTGGCATCTATTACCACATCTTACGGTAGCCGTCCATCGAGTTTAAAATAAAATAAAAAAAAAGAGTAAATTTCCATTGAATTGAAATAAGAAAGGAAGATGAATGACGGGCTTTCTCAAGGCATATAAAAGGACAGTCGGTTTCGTACGAAATTTGATTATTTGGTTAAGTAGAAAATTATAAAAATAGACCGTATAATGTAATGAAAGTTGAATTAAGCAGAGCCGAAGTGATGAATAACTAGGTGAATATTAATGAGATATCCGCGAAGTGACTGCTTCGACAAGATAATCTCGAGCTAATCCGTTAAGCGGTAAATTAATCGTTACACGTTTAACGCCGACATGAAGGGAATCACTTATGTGTTACAGATCGGAAGCACGTCGATCAGCCGAGGCGCGGTTCCGTCGGGAAATCGAAGGGAAGAACCGCCACGTTAGGCTGACGCCGACTGGGAGGATCGTTTCGGGGGACATGGCTTAACTCGCGACAAGTGGGAGACAGGTGGAGGAGCCACCATCCTCGGGTCTCAGGATTCCGAGAGCGCGGATGGTCGTCGAGATTTCCTTCGACGTTGGAAGTAATCACGAGTGGTGTCGGGTGGTGTGTTGGTGATCAAAGAGGGGGGGTTTCAGTGGCTGTGATCGTGGTGTTGTGTCGGGGATCAGTGTGTTGTCGTCGGTGAAGAGTGGTGAGAGGTATATCGGGTTGCGGCTACGTCCCTGCTACGGGAGTAAGAATTAACGAGAAGGAGCAAGTGTGGTGAGGAGAAATCAAGGTGGATAAGGTATACACACGATAAAAGAGGTGGAAGGCGCGGGAGAGGCGAAGAGAGAGAGAGATACGGCCGGATATATCGCGAATTACGTCGAGCGAGAGTAGAAGCGAGAGAGTGAGTGATGTGTTCGATGGACGAGGCGCGTCTCGCGGGCGGTGGTCGGGGTAATGATAACGCGTGCATTCACGCGCGCTACCACTACTATTACTTGGTATCCAAAGTGAGAAACGGCGGGCAGTCGGTGACCAGGCTGGCGGGCGCCGGGGAAACGTTTCCAAGGGCATGGCGACCACGCCACTAGGCGGTCGCCTCCCTAACGTAAACCGTAAAGGACCATCTCCGTGTATCGGTGGTGGTGGTATTAGTAGTAGTAATAGTAATAGTAACAACAGTGGTAACGGTAGCAACGGCAGTACCAGCAACGGTAACAGCGGTAACAACAACAACAACAACAACAACAACGGCTTAAGTAACAGCAACGCGAGCGGCAGTCAGTCGAGGAGGCAAGAGAGAGCATTGGTCGGCAGGGAGCATCGTGATCATCGTCATCATCACCATCACCATCACCATCACCATCATCACCATCATCATCACCATCAGGGTCGGGATAAGTCGTCGTCGTCGTCGTCGTCGTCGTCGTCGTCGAGCCAGCAGCGTGAGTTAAATAAAGCAAGCACAGTGGCTGCTAACGCCGGTGAACTGGATCCGGCCGCGACGAATGCGACCAATAACTTTGAGTACGACGACAACGAATGGGACATTGGCATAGGTGACCTGATAATCGATCTTGATGCGGACATTGAGAAGACGAGGGACGAGAAATTGAGCTCGGGGACAGGCATGGCTTCTACGCCTGCCTCGGCAGCATCGGCACCGAATAACGCGAATCATCATCAGTTGCAGAACTCAGCGAGTGGTCTCAACTCCAACTCCTCGTCCTCGTCCGTCCCGTCGACTGGTACGAACTCCAATAGTCAATCTTCGTCGTCCTCGTCATCGTCGTTGTCGTCGTCCTCCTCATCATCCTCATCGTCATCGTCCTCCTCTTCCTGCGGCGTGAATTCGTCGTCGGCGCGCTCCAACAGCCCCGGGAGCGGCAGCGGCGGCGGCGCCAACGGCACCGGCAGCGCGAACGGCGCCGGTAACACGAACGGCACTGCATCTGTGGTCACCGGTCCCGGTAACAAGCAAGCGTCGGGCGTCAACGTCAGTGGCGTCAACGCCGTCCACGGTAACGCCGGAAATCCCGGCAAGATGGCCGTTGAACACTCGGCCACCGTCGACAAGGGCCTCAAGATGAAGATCAAGCGGACGAAGCCCGGTACGAAGACCAGCGAAGCCAAACACGAGATCGTCAAGTCGAACGAGATCAACGGTACCGCCTCGTCGCAGGATTCGAATAACGGCACCGCTGCGTCCTCGACGTCTTCGTCCTCGGCTGTCGGCTCGACGTCCGCGTCGGTCGCGGTCGCGCAGAACTCACAGAACTCGGAATGCGGCGCGGCCGTCGGCGGGCAGTCGTCCTCGTCGAACAAGTCCAAGCCGAGCCATTCGCCGGCGTCGGCTGGCGGCACCGGTGCCGCACCCTCGTCCACCGCCGGCTCCAAACGCGGCTCGAGCGGTCATCGGCGCGACAAAGCGCGGGACAAGCACGAGAAGCCGCAGAGCAATCACACACCCCAGCAGACCAAGCCGGAGATGAACGGTACCGCGCGACCGGCGCCGCAGAGCCAAAACTCGGCCGGTGGCGCGACGCAGTCTCAGGGCCCGACGCCGGCCGCCACGGCGCCGCAACAGACCCAGGGACCACCGCCCAGCTCGAGGACAGGTTTCTCCGTGTCACAGGGCCCCGGGCCACCCGCGACCAGCGCGGCGGCACCCTGTCCGCCGCCGAGTCCGGCGAGCGCCACGGCGGCCGGCGCGCCGGCCAAACCGGAACAGACCAAGGTCGCCGCGGTGCCGGGTCCGCCGCTCACGACTCCCGCCGAGGAAGCAATGGACACTGCCGCTAGTCCTCCACCTGCGAAAAAGATGAAGACGGAGCCGAAGGTAAGTCCCTACTTGCGAGTTCGTCTCGTCCGAATTTCACCAATTTTACCTCTCGTTACGATACAACGGATAAGTCTTTTTTCTTTTATTTTTTATTTTTTTCCTGTTATTTTCACACGCTTGAAAGATTTAATTCCCGACGGGTCATTTATTCCCTGCGGATTTATAGCTCGAAAGCTATTAACGGCTAAATATTTTCAACTTGAAACGTCACATATTTGCGTTGAACCTGGAGTATTTTAGAATACCCGTTGATATCATTCGTCGCTTCGCATTCTCACAATCAGTCATGAAGCATCCGTAATTATAATTGCGATTTGAAAACAACGGACATGCCTACAATTAATTTTCCTCTCTTCTCTGGGGGGAGGGAGAGAGAGAGAGAGAAAGAGAGAGAGACAAGTTGAATTAAGTTCACGGATTTCCTTTTCCGGACAAAATTGCGCGCACAGGTACGTTAGCGGGATACACACAAATAGGGGAATTTTTTTTCCTCTTGCGCGACGCATTCCTACCGGATACGTAACGTTGATTTCCGGCAGCTCGTTAGTCGCCACGAGCTCGGGCAAGTCCCTCCTCCGATCGGTATCTTCGTCTCATCGGCGGCGACGCGTAACGCTCGTACGCACCTAACTCGCTCGCGGCGCGGCGAGATGAGAGCCGGCACGGAATCAATTACATAAGTTCATATGCATAGAACGCGAACGAACCGCGACCGAACGTTAGTCCGCATCATGTATGCGCGTGCATGCGTCAATATTGCCGTTCCGTTGCGTGCATAGGAAAGGGTTTTGCTTGGAAGCAAAGATAGTGGGAGATTACGGGGAGAAAAATGTTGAAAATGTCTCATTAGGCACGCATTGGTAATTGGACTTGTTAGTTCGTAGGTGAAAAACAATATTAGACAATTAACAAGGTAAATTTATTCATAAAACTGAATAATTTAAAACGCGCGAAAGGATGAACGATGTTTCCTCTAGCGGCAGTGTTTCTTTCCCTTCTTTTCCCCCTTTCCCTTTCTAAAAAAGAGATGTTACCAGCGCGAATGTCGTTAATATCGAACAGTTGAGCCTCTTTTCCGCGATGTCGATTGGTCTTCTCGAAGCGCGGTGTGTGCTTCACTTCTCTTTTAGATTCATAGTGAATGAAGATTAGTGATTTAGTAATATACATTTGTATACGTCAGCTATTGAGGTAAAATCTCTAATTTTAGTAATTAGAATTTAAGTAACAACGATTTTTGTTTTGAAACATTTTCTCGATTGAACAGAATTAATCGTTCATTTAATCAACACCAATAAGTCCGCAGAATGATACACAAAACGTAGTAACAGTCGCGGAACAAAGTAATGTAAAATATTCAGTACAGTATTTACAATTTCGTAGGCGGGACACGTCACCGCGCCGATAGAAAAACAACAACGAATTCTCAACGTTCGTTGTCGTTTTTCTATCGGCGCGGTGACGTACGATGTTTTTGCGTGCCATCGTGTACCTTTGAAGGTCGCTGCGTTATCACTCGCTCGCCGAACGTCGAGCCGGCAGGCAGCAGCGAGAGTCGGTCCGTGCGTCGTATTACTTTTGCGTTATCGGTTTCCGAGACTCGATCACGCTGAATGCAGGGATAAAACGCTATTGATTTGCACACCTTTATTAGTAACAAGTAACGTTCCTCGATTAATTATTCAATTTTTACAACTTGTAATGAGAAACGAATTGCATGTTGAGGCGACGGCTCTTTATCAACGTATACATAGACATTTCACGAGACTAACTCATCTAAAACTTTGTATTGTGTCGGTACTTTGTCGCGGTTACATCACGTTTACGCACCGCGCTCTTAATTATCTATCGATTTCGTGTAATCTGTTCCATTTTCGGGAAAAGAGAGAAATTTGTACTACTTCGGCGTTCGCGCTGTAATTCGCTCTGTCGTTCTTCGCAACTCAAACGGGCAGAAAGTAAAGAAAGTCGCTTATCGCACATTGTTACATTGTGTAAATGTAATCGAAAATTATCTCGATTAACTGTTGCAATTAATAACAAGTATTTATCGCTGAAAACTTTGCTCACATAATTTATTTCGAGGATTAGATTGAATGGCAAAGATTGTAAAATATCATTTCGTTGCGGACTAATAACTAAGTACTTCTTTACCGCAGATTATGCTTTCGATGCTCGCGTTGCGTTTTATATCGCCAATTCAAAAGTGTTTTTATCCATTATCCTATTCTTCCGAATAAAAAATGCAAGTTGTTAGATTGAGTAATTTGTATCGTAGAAAGTCACGCGATATTTGTTAATAATATTTGGTGTGTTCCGCGGTATTTCACATCGCGTACGGGAGTGCCCGAAATTTTGCGCGATCGATGATTTTCGCGAGTGAGTGTTGTGTTAGTGCAACAAGGAAATCTGAGAGGATGTGCAGGCCTAGGAGGCATCGGGCAACAGCGGAGAAAGGGTGAGGTAAGTGTCTTACATTTTTCTGTTATCTGTTACTTGTGCGAAATAAATCATCTGTTCTGTGTTTTTATTTTATTTATTCAAATGATTCAAACGAGGATTTGAATAAGTGTTAGAGACAAAACCATACATATAAAATTTTGTGAGTTTATATTTAAAAGAAAGACTTTTTCAGTATTCTATATAATTATTTTAATAAATACATATTTTTAAACATATAAAATATAAAGTTTATTTAATACAATAATTTTGTTTTTACATAATTAATCTATAATAATCATATACATATTTGTATTGTTACAGTTTAACATATACAGTTAACGATGTACAACTCTGCTGTTGCAACTTGTATCAGTGAGTGATAAATTACTTTTTACTTTAAAGTGACGTTGCGCCTACTACTTCTTTGCATGTGTGCAAATTCTTAAAAATATACATACTGAACTGGAAACTGCGCGCGCGAAGCGCGCGTTTTGTCATTTCTAGTTATTAATATAATGGATGGTTCTGTAAAACATACAAGGACGCTTTTTTATTAGACAAAGTATCTGGAATAGAAATAAATTTGTAATTCAGATTGAATTAATTCAATCTGAAGGAGAGGACTCCCCTTTTATTTCCCCCACTCGCAAATCGAGCAGAAATATGTTAATGAAAAAATGATGAAGACGCGGCGATATTTTTCTATTTTCGTCCAAATGGAAACTTCAAAGAATCGATATCGCATTGACATGCTTTACGTATTTGCTTCCGTTTTATTCTACGTCGGAGTAGACTATCGCCGTGACACTTGAATAAATAAATCCGCTTCTCGAACGCGACGCGAACGTTATTGTAAAATACGAGCTTCGGTTTCTGCCGCGAACCGCCGCGCGAGCGTGCGAGCGGACACGCATATGTATATCTGAAAATAAACGCGAAGCGAAAAATATCGTTTGAGAGATACGGCGGAGCGCCATAAATAAATCTCGTCTCGCGCGCTCTCTTCGTTCCTGCGATCCGCAGCCATCAAAAGTTGTGCATTATTTTCTCGCGTAGAGATCTGACAACGTTATCGTATTTTATGGTCGGCCGGACGCGGCGAACGGGACGGGTTTTCTTATTGGATGTGCGCGACAAATTTTTCCCTCAAACTGGACCCTTATCTAGCTTGACCGCCGTACTCGCCGTGCGACCGTTCGCCTTTTAAACGGCGCGCCGTTTTTTTTTTAATTCACTCATTCGTTCGCAATGCAGTCAAATTTCACCCGAGTTCAAGCGGACTTCTGCGCCCTCGAAATTCCAGCCGTAATTTTAATCGGCGAGGTATTTAAAAAAATAAAAAAAAATTACGACCATTAAAATGCACGGGGGCCGGCGAGGTTCGACTCCGTATTCCGCGGGGAATATTTCACGAATGTGTTACGTTGAAATTGCTGTAGCGTGTACACAGGACGGGCCCGTGTGTGTACACGCGCGTAGTCGTGAAATCCGCGCGTTTTCCAACGGACCTCGGTGTATCTCTCGCCTTGGCACACATCGGGACCATCGTCGTTCTCGTCATCGTCATCGTCGTCGTCGTCCCGCACGTACGTGCTCGTTCGTAACCTTGTTCGCGAGCCGTGTAACGCCGGACACGTATTCGCGCGTCAATCAACTCGCGTACGTGTCGCGGATGCGCTCGCGGCTCGGCTCGGCTCAGCTCGGGGCCCACGACTGCAACAAAATTGGGAGGGCACGCGCGTATGCGCCCGCGGCGGAAGACCCGACGACACAGCGTGCACTGTCACTGTGTTAACTGTTAAACGTTCCGGTTAACTATAATGACGCTCTTTTGCGCGTCCCGAAAAAGGAGAGGGGGAGAGAGTGTCGCGGGGAAAGGGTTTAACCGCGTGGCAACAAAGTTTCATGCTCGCGAGTGGATCGCAGCTTCGCCGTGAAATGTCAACGCGAGCGAGCGGGAGATGGGAAGAAGCAATTCTCTGCGCTAAATTGCAGGAATAAAAAAGCATGTTTTGTAACGATCTCTTCGGTGCTCATTTCATAGTTAAATGCTGATAAACCTTTTTGCGCGCTCTCGCGTTGCCGTGTGATATGCTTTTTTTTTATCTATTTACATATGCAAACCGCGTACTCGGCGAGCCGTAATTTTAAATGCAAATTTTGCGTATCGCTTCTAGAGACAAATACAGTGTAGATTACGATAAATATACTCTTGGTTGGCGCAACCGATCGCTACACGATGTTTCAACGGTGTAGATTTCGCGGAGGGTTTAAAGTTCAGGTAAGATAGAAATTGGCACGAACTATTTCTGCTCTTTGTGCGATGATTGCAGCCGAGCATTTTCACTTGGCGTCTCTCGTCGCTATTCACGGTTCATGGCAGCCGCTTTGTCGAAGCCGTTTTGAAAGTATACCGACACGTCGATACACAGCCGATTGACTCGCGTCATCTATTATTCGCCGCCCGATTCGGCGAGTGACATCGATACGACTGCTCTCCATTGTAATAGCGGCGTCATTATTTTTGCACGCCACGATTTGCCGGCGATATTATT